TTGTCGTGCCCATATCACTACTTGCTTAAAACCTTTCAATGATATCTACTGTTTCGGGGGTAAGGACTATCCAATATATTATTTTCAAGTTTTAATTCTGATAGTTGTTTTACTACCTGATTTCCTTTGGAACATTCTAGAGACTTTGCCACCACTCAGTGCTGCTACACCTCAAATATTCCAATACTCCATATCTGGCCAGTTTTCTATGCCTATATATATATATATATATATATATATACACTACTACTACTATACCTTCCAGTCCCTCTCTCTCTCTCCCTTTCTCCCCATCTGGCAAATATATCATGACTTTCCATTCTCCCTATTCACACTAAACCCCCAACACAGTCACTTCTACCACTCTTTTATTGGTGATCTCAACTCAGCTGGCCTCCTCTCCTTAATATTACCTTGGAAACCATCAGCCCTGAATATTTTGACAATCTGCTCTGCTACTCCTACATTCAGGATGGAAGAAAATATAACAGACTGAACTGGTCAGAATTTTAAATTTGCATGATAAGGTATTTCCCCCCATCTTCAGAGGGTAGACTCACAAATAACTGGTCTCTAATCTCAAACACCCTTAATACCATTCAATCATTTTTATATGTTTCATTACTGTCATAGGAAATTCTAAACATTGGGTCTATACATTCTCAGCACTTTACCTTGGGTCTGAGTTGCAAAGATACAAATCTACCCAAAGCCTTAACTCTTTCTTTCCTGTACAAGGCCTGTCTTTTCTACCTCAGCTCCAAAGCCCAACCCTGTCATTTCTGAGATTGAACCAAGTTTAAGTTATTTTGTAATCAAGATCTAGGTCAATTTCCCAGCAGTATCCCCTGCCTCTTCTCTAAGTATACCCTGCCTGCAGTTCTGGGAATTTCCAGACATGAAGAGGGCCTGAGGTTCATTCAATGTGATACTTTATGTCTAATAAGGCCACCTGCCGGAAGCATATTCCCAGGCAGAGTCACTTGAACAAAACTGAACTTATGTTCCCAGGAAGGCTATCATAACAAGGACTGAGAATTAGTCCATTTTTCCATTACTTTAGCCAAAGACCTGAATCTAGGTAACTTATAAAAGAAAAAGAGTTTTATTTAACTCACGATTTGGGGAGGCTGAAAGTCCAATCAGTATGGCACCTGCTCTGGTGAGGATCCCCTGGCTGCATTGCATCACAGTAAATGGCATCATGGTGGGAACATTAGCAAGAGGGAGAGATAACACAATGAGATAACAAGCCAGAGCATAGAGGGGCCAGTCTTGCTCTTTCATAATCACCTTCTCATGAGGGCCCCACAAGAACTACACCAATTCCTTCTAAGGGCAACACCTGCAGTGGCCTTCTACTAAGCTCTACCTCTACAAAGTTCTGCCATCTCTCAACATGGCCACACTAGGAACTAAGCTTCCAACACCTGAATGCTTGGGGTGGGAGGGGAAGCCCTTAAGCCCCTCAAGAAGGAGAACCTAGGCTATAAACAAAGGGATGAAGTTAAAATCATGAGCCAAAGATTCCAATAAATGGGAAGTCCCAATTAAGAGAGTAAGAGCAGACAGGAAGTAGAAAGCAGCCCATATGGAGTAGAAAGACATGGAACAATCTTTCTCTCAACTACCCTTTGATCCACCACAAGCATTTTAGCCAAAAATATTAAGAAGTAACTTCAGCACTTTCATCAACTGAGATTTTGCAACCATATAATTTTTTTTTAACTTTTTTAGGGGATGTTAGAATTCACCTCAGTGGTAGAGCACATGCTTATTAGCATATGTAAGTTTCGGGGTTCAATCCCTAGAATTCCATCTAGTTAAGATGGAAGCAATAAATTCAAAAGTGTAGAAATAAAATGGCAAAGCATATAAAATAAAATTTATTGCCATTATGTGTTTTAGCAAGTAAAATAAAAATAACTACTTCGGAAGGAGATTGCATATTCCATTTCCTCATTACATTCATCCAAGAATCCCACATGGGATTGGTAATCTCCTTTCAGAGTTAGGCCTTACAGAACCCTCTGAAGTTCATAATTATCAATGATTATTCCTTCCAAATGCAAAAAAGGGGGGAATGTTGATCTTTTAAATAAATGAGCTAGAATTAAGACAAAACAAAATAAGACAAAAAGACATGGAACAAGATACACATCCACCCTTCTTTTCCTCCTCTTGATTACTGCACAGCTGGCTCTTTCATTCATTCATTCCAATTCCATCAAACATCCTTTCTGGACTAGTGACCTTTCTGGATCACTCCATCTAAGGCAGCCACTTAGCCACTCATCCTATTTTCGTGTTTTGGTGCTGTGCATAGCACTGTTGTACTAGCTGATGTCTTTTCTTTATGTATTTATTTACTGGTGTATTATCCATCTCTTCCCCCTAGAATGTAAGCTCCACGCGAACACAGCTCTTCTTGTTTACTCTGTCTCCCCAAAGGCAAGAATAGTGTTTCAAGTACAATAAATACTCAGCAAATACTGGGTGGATAAATCAAATATCAGGAACACTCTACTTGTTTTTAAAGATTTCCAGATGATTCTGGCTTCAGCCAGGCTGGAAACTACTGGGCTAAAGTCAAATCTCCTTTCTATGTTATTTTATGAATTAAAAAAGGGAACTTGGGGGGTTGAGGATGTAGCTCAGTCGGTAGAATGCTTGCCTCACATGCATAAGGTCTTTGGTTCAATCCCCAACACCGCAAAAAAAGGGGGGGGGGATTTGGGGTTCATTTCTCCTCTGCCCCTGTTCTATATTTCCTAATTCTATAATTAGTAAAATTCATAAACAACAAATATTTTGTAAATAGTGTTTAATTTCCCCCCAAAGCAGGCATTAAAGCTAGTATCACAATTAGCCTAAAATTGAATTCTTCCATAATTCTCCTTAGAAATACTATCAGTACTATTTTCTTCCCATAAGTTCTTAAGCTAGTGGTAATTAACTGTGATGAAATATACAGACTATGTTTGAGGAATTAATGACTCTGCTGATGTGGTTTTGCTGTTGTGGTTCTATTCATTTCGCTTTTCATGTCCCAAATTAAGTCAGGTGGTTTCAAGTAAAGAACTCATAGAAATGGAAACTGATGTTGTTTATGTTGTTTTGTATAACCACAGCACACACATATAGAAATGCAGAAGCAGATGGTGTTGCTGAGGAGTCTTTAAGCATACGGTTTCTAAGATCTAGAATGTTCTCTCCCCTACATTCCTAAGCTATTCAGTTCAGATATCATCTTCTATAACAACTGTAAACATTAAGGGTAATTACTTTGAATTATTTATTTTGCTTTCCCCAATCTCAAACACTGTCTGGAATGCAATAACTACTCAATAAATTCTTCTTGAATTGCACTGCTCAGATATTCACCCTAACCCACTGGGCTTGTGGGGTCCTTTGCTATGACTTACACAATATTAACATAATTATCACTTATTTAATACTTATCATGTACCATGCCACATGCTAAGTCTTTACCTATAATATTTCATTTAATTCCCACAAGAATACTTGAAAGAAATGTGTTATTGCTGTTGAAGAAACTGAGATTAAGAGTTTGGATTTTATCTAGGGTTTTGCTTTCTATTCTATACTGCCTTGTTCAATCAATATAATACCAACAAGAAGTGCATCAATATTTTTAGTGTACATTATTTCTGCCTCAACTTCTTTGTTAATAGATAATAGAAACTAGGACAAGTTCTTAAATAGCTCTAAAAGAGATAACCCTTAAGGGAGTTTGATGAAAACCTATTGTGATTCACTTAACCTCTCTGTATCTCAATTTGCTGATCTTCAAAATTAGTAGGTTTGAACCAAATAATACTTCAAGTTGCTTCTGGATCTGTGTTTTAACCCAAAGGGCATGAAAACCTGGTAAGAAATTCCTTTTAAAATGCAGCTGCAAGTTTGAAAACTCATCCTTAACCTGCAAAGAAGATCAGTTCATAGGTTGAAGGTTACAGCCACAAATGAATTGAGAAGTAAAATTTAATCCTATTTCTAATAAGGGAACAGATGAGCAGTGAAAGCTTTAAAATTCTGAGTCTAACATAGACTAGGAAATGGTTTTGATTCCCAAGCTCTTCTCCACTGAACCTGTGTAGTGGTTTTTATGTATTTCTCTGCTGGCAATGAAGAGATGAAGAGAAAAGCAAGCAGAAAAGAAATCAGGACACTGAGGTCAGCACAGAGATAGATCAAAAAAAAAAATTCAGAGTTGAATTAGAGAGAAGAAAATAGGAAATGTAGGACTGAGTCAGTAATTCATAAAGGTGTGATCTTTGTTGTAGTATTTCTTGTAATGAGTTTATCTCCTAGGATGTGATAACCAACTCCATTTTTTTTTGCTTTTTTTTTTTTGTGCACCCTTCTCAACAATTGTTCAAATGCAGATCACTCAGCCTGTCTGCCTTCATCCTTCCAAACTAAACAATATAAATCTTTGCCTGTTTTGATATAAATGGATTCCATTTTAATGTGAGACTCAATGTTTAAATTTTTCTTTCTAACCACTTTTCTCCAGCAAGATTAGGTAGCTCATCTCCAGATTCTATTTTTGTTCATGCCTGATATTTACCGCATTTCTATGTATCCAACATCATTTATCCATATGCTAATCAAAATCCTAAAATTGAGGCAGAGCAGGTTCCTGGTGGGATGACCTAATACAAGAAAATAATTTTAACCAATGTTTTAATACCTGAAATCAGTTATTAGACTTTTAAAAATGATCTTGCTTATGAAATTTTAAAAATTCTCCTTTGAAATGGAGAAGAAACAATTTGAAGAGAAGTAAACACTTCTCTGCCTCCACCTCTACAGCAGTGTGTTCCACAGAAAAAGGAACCAGGAAGAGCAAAAAGACTCACTAAATATTTAAATAGTAAGTTTTAGGTTAGGAAGTTGCAACAGCAAAAGGAAAAGCAGATAACTTGAAGGCCAAGTGTCACCGATTTTTGTCTCTGTCCTTAGAAGATTGCTGATGTAGAGTCACTGTGGCTTGCTCAAGACTCTCTGGAACGAAGACACCGCTCTAAGGTAAGATTCCCTGGACTATCGCCTAGTCCTATCACCTGAATGGACCCTCCAGGATCAGTTTTCTCAGGTTCTGTGGCCCATTCCCACAAAAGCAGCTCAGTGTCCCCAAATGGAAGTAGTGTCTTCCTTAGAGCTGTTTGTGCCAATAAGTGGCATTACATCAACCTTAAGATAACTCCAAATCTGAGAGCTCTACCTGAAGAGACGAACATTGGGATTTTTTCAAAACTCTCTGAGGGTACAGGTGCTCTAGTGAGGAAAGAAGTATATCCTGGGGTGTGGCTAAACGGTAGAGCATGAAGCTCTGGGTTCAATCCTCAGCACCTCATAAAAATTAATAAAATAAAGGGGCTGGGGTTGTGGCTCAATGGTAGAGTGCTTGCCTAGCGTGTGTGAGACACTGGGTTCAATTCTCAGCACCACATACAAATAATTAAAATAAAGATCCATCAACAACTAAAAAAATATTTAAAAAATAAATACATAAAAATAAATTAAATAAGGGCATTGTGTCCAACTACAACTAAAAAATTTTTTTTTGTTTAAAGAAGTATATCCTGTAGTATTAAAAGAGCAAAATGAAGCTGTTACTGGCTTTAATATAATAAGCTAAGCAAAATAATAGATTAGAAAATTATTGAGCACTTACTGTGTGCCATGAAGAGAGCTCAGTAATTTTAAAACATTTTCTTATTTAGCCCTCATAAAAATTCATAGGGAATGCGGAGCGTAGTGGCTCATGCCTATAACCCCAGCAACTTGGGAGGCTGAGGTAGGAGAATCACAAGGCCAGCCTCAGCCACTTAGGCCCTAAGCAGTTCAACAAGACCCTGACTCAAAATAAAAAATTGAAAGGATAGGGAATGTGGCTCAGTGGTAAAGTGCCCCTTGGATTCAATCCTTAGTATGATAAAACAAACAAACAAAAACACCCCAGCTTAAAGAGTTACTTAAGAGTCTGTAGTCACAGAGCTAAAATGTAGTAGGGATAAGATCCAAACCCAGGACTATGAAACACCGGAGCCTGAACTCTGCCCCATTTATTTATGTTTAAGTACTTTAAAACCTTCTTAAAAAATATTTAAGAATGAAGGGGATTGGGGTTGTGGCTCAGCAGCAGAACACTCACCTAACACATAGGAGGCGCTGGGTTCGATCCTCAGCACCACATAAAAGTAAACAAATAAAATGAAGATTAAAAAAAAATGAAAAATTCTCCTGATTGTGTACAATAAATCAAAGTTCCTAGGAAACTTTATATAATATTCAGAATCATTTTGATATTATTCAAGTTCTACAGTATTTTCAGATGCCTTTTAAGAGCTCAGCCACACAATTAAAAATTTTCCTAAAATTCAGTTTTCCACAATCACATATGAAGAGATCCCCCTACACACACACACAAAGCACAAACACATAAACACCATAACATACGCCATTCCAAACATAGCCTGCAGACATATATACACAGATCATACAAATATACTACAGATATACATACACAGACCCCACACCAAACAGACATATACAGAAACCATAAACCTATCTGCATGCGCACAAACACACTAGGTATACAGAAAGAACAAAGGCATACCTAGCTTCTCTCTCTCTCTCTCTCTCTCTCTCTCTCTCTCTCTCTCTCTCTCTCTCTCTCTCTCTCTCTCTCTCCCTCTCCCCTGGGAAATTCTCCAGGTGATTATGTTTCTCCCTGGCTACTCAAGCCCCAATATCTATCCAATTTCCATTGCGTGCTTCCTCTCAGTCACATCTCACCTCCTACTGCTGTCTTTTTTCTCTCCATCTCACTCCATTTCCAAATAGGGAACACAAACTCTTTTCTTTTGATTCTCCACAACCACCAACACAAGACAATTGTGGCTTAATGGGGGAAAGGGACATTATATTATATCAAAACATAGCAAATAGACAAAAATTGGGCATTAGACCTTATTATTTTTACACCCCCTCTGTCTTTTCTGCTTCTCAAAATATCTCATTGACTTCTCTTCAGGCATCTTAACCTCCTGCTGGCTTCTTCCTGTGCCTCCTCTCTTAAGACTACCCGCACTCCCCTGCCCTCTCCTCTAGGTCTCAGGACCTTAACATGACCTTTTTCTTGAATTTTCACTCTCCATTGCTATCCATTCCATAACCTTTAGACTTTGAGTTTTATTCACAAAGCAGACAACTAAGGGATTTTACTGAAGAGAGGAACTTTTTTCTATTTTAAAGGAAAATTTCACAAGTCCCTTAGAAGGCAGCATTGACTTAAGTCAGTTGTGGTTTTTATATAACAATTATTTTATTTCTTTTCCCTTTATAATCTTAAAATGTTTTTGCTTAGTGAAAAAAAAATGCATCATTAGTCATTTCCATTGCTTTACCCAATTCATCAAAAACCAATTTTTGATATGACTCTTTTATAATAGCTATTTCCAAAACATTTTGGGGTTGATAGTTTTGATACTACAGGAACTGTTATTCAAGAAATTTGATGCTTTAGATACTTTGATATTTAGGTACTCTTGATTCATGGAGCATTGTCAATTGCCAATTTTCACAGACAATATAAAACAATGGTACAGTTCCCCATCTGTCACAACAAAGGCGTGGTGGAAAATGTGGGTGATAAAAGATCTTTAGCCATTTTAAAACTCACTTTCTCCCCTGCTTAAAAATTTGCCTCACAGGCTTGTGAAAAAAAAGAAATGATTTTTTTATGGAATAACACAGATACTAGATAAATGTGAGTTTCTGGACTTTTTTCCTCCTCCTCTCCTCAAGTGAAAATAACTACTCCTTGTATCCTATAACATACTTACCTCTTTGGTTGAAGATTCCACATTCTCGTAGTACTCTGCAGCTCTCATATGAAGATTACTGTTATATGCCAAGTATCAGAATACTAGATAATAGTATTTACTAAATATAGATAGCTTATAAGGGAAATCTAATTAGGCAACCCCTAATTTGCAACAGTTGCTATTATTTTTGTTACTCAAGTTTATTTCATTAGCAACATTTGTCCCTGTCCCAACCAAGTCTTAGTCAAGTAAAAATGACTCTGAATTGCCTTACTCAAGAAGTTGTGCCCATCAGGAAAGGTCAGAATTCCAGTTAACATCTAAATAGAAAATTTTTTAGCCTAAATTGATTACTTAACAATTGTCCAAAAATCCCAATATTTTTTTTCTCTTTCACATTTATTTCATCTGTAATACTTCTGTTTTTTATGCTCAGATTAATCTGATCTTAATTCTACATACAATATAAAAGTGTACACCTTAGAAAAACGTTTTGTCTGTATTATTATAGAAATAATATGTTTGCCATTGTTAAAATATTGTCATTTGGACTATTACTATGCAAAAATCACTACTTTAATCTCTACATTTAATATTTTATTTTGCTTTGTTTTTCTCCATAGGTAAATATGAAGTTGATCAACTCTACTGATGACCTGATCAATACTTCTACTTTAGTAAGAAATAGCACTCACTTTTCAGCTTCTGCCTCAGACATGATTATTGCCCTTTCTTTGTTCATGTCATTTATAGTCGGTACCATCACCAACGGCCTCTATCTATGGGTGCTAAAATTCAAGATGAAAAAGACAGTCAATACTCTCTTGTTTTTTCATCTCATTTTCTCATATTTTATTTCGATATTGACTCTGCCATTTTTGGGCATCTACTATCTTCAGGACCATTACTGGATCTTTGGAACAGCATTGTGTAAGGTCTTCAATAGCACTTTGTCTCTGGGGATGTTCGCCTCTGTTTTCTTCCTCTCTGCCATCAGTCTGGATCGTTATCTTCTCACTCTTCACCCAGTGTGGTCCCAGAAGCACCGAAACCCACGCTTGGCTTCCAACATTATCCTGGGAGTCTGGATATCTGCTACTGCCCTCAGCTCACCCTATTTGGTTTTCAGGGAGACACATCATGACCATAATGGAAAGGTGACCTGCAGAAATAACTATGCTGTGTCAGCTAACTGGGAAAGTGAAGAGATACAAACTTTAAGGCGACGGATTCATGCAACCTGTTTCATCAGCCGCTTCTTGCTGGGCTTCCTTCTACCTTTCTTCATTATCATCTTTTGTTACAAAAGAGTAGCCAGTAAGATGAAAGAGAGGAGCCTGTTTAAATCCAGAAAGCCCTTCAAAGTCATGATGACTGCTATTATCTCTTTCTTTGTGTGTTGGATGCCCTACCATATACACCAGGGCTTAACTCTCACTACGAACCAGTCACTCCTTTTAGACTTGAGTCTGGTAGTTACAGTGGTAACCAGTTCTTTCAACAGTGTCTTTTCTCCCACACTCTACCTATTTATTGGGGAGAATTTCAAAAAGGTTTTCAAGAAGTCCATTTTTGCTCTGTTTGAGTCAGCATTCAGTGATGATTCTTCTGCAGGAAAGACGCAAAACCTAAATTCGCAAGTTGAAATTTAAATTCTAGATACTTAAACATGGACTCTGTGACTTATACCACTAGAGCTATACCCTCTGCCTTTATATACTACACTCCCTATATTAGAGAAACATTAGGTGACATTAGGTTGTACGATAGTTAGATCTATGAATATTAAAAGATCTCCAAGGAAACAGGAAATAGGTCATGTTGCAAATGTGAGTTGAAACGTTTTTAATTGTGGTAAAATATATGTAACATAAGATTTGCCATTTTCACCATCTCATTTGTATTAGTTATATTCACAATAATGTACAACCATCATCACTATTTCCAAAATTTTTCATCCCTCAAGAAAAACTCTGTACCCATTAATTAAGAGCTCTCCATTTCCTCAGCCCCAGTCCCTAATACCTGCCAGTCTGCTCTCTATGAATTTACCTATTCTAGATATTCTTTATAAGTAAAATCACATATTTATCCTTTTGTGTCTGACTTATTTCACTTAGCATAATGTTTTGGTTTTTTTAATTTTTTAGTTGTGGATGATACAACACCTTTATTTTATTTATTTACTTTTATGTAGTGCTGAGGATTGACCCAGTGCCTCACGTGTATGACGCAAGTGCTCTACCACTGAGCTACAACCCAGCCTTAGCATAATGTTTTAAAGGTTCATTCATGTTACAACATGTATCCGAACTTTATGCCTTTCTATGTCTACTTGTATTCCATTGTATGATATACCACACTATCTAAATCCATTCATCTGTTGGTGAACACTTGGGTTATTTCCACCTTTTGACTACTGTGAGTAATGTTGCTCTGAACAGCTACGTGCAAGTATCTGTTGGAGTCCTTGTTTTCAGTTATTGTAGGGAAGTACGTAAGAGTGGAATTACTGAGTCAAATGTTAATTCTGTTTTAATTTTTTGAGAAACCCTCAAACTTTTCAATGTGTACCTGTTACATTCCCACTAGCAATGTAAAAAACTTTCAGTTTCTCCATATCTTCACAAACACTTGTTATTTTCCTTTTTTAAATTACAGGTATTCCAGTAGATGAAACTGGCGACAATGTGATTCTTAATCTTTGACTGTCAAAAATAGGAATATTAATTTCTAAAGGCAAATAATATCCTGGATTTTAATTTTCTGTCATAGAACCCTATAGCAACAGACAGCATAGGTTTTTATACTTTAATGTTTTAATTATAAAGACATTTTAAGTGTCTCTTTTTAATACTCAGAGATTAGCTGTCTCCAAATTATGAGACTAAGACAATTATAATGTTTAAGAATCTGTCATAGGCTGAGGTTGTAATTCAGTGGTAGGCGAGCACTCTACCGCTGAGCCACAATCCGAGACCTCTTCCCTAGTTTTTAAGTTTTGCTTCAAGCCTTTTGCAAAATATTAAAGCACATAAGTGGGCCACATATTATTGTGGATCTATTACTTTTTTATTTAGTTTAGTTGGTGTGTTAGCTTTCTTTCCCTATGAGAAAAATACCTGAGATAAACTTATAATGAGTAAGGTTCATTTTGGCTCATAGCTTCAGAAGTTTCAGTCAAATGTAGACCAATGGTAGAATAGAAGGCACAGAGACAAACCTATATAAATACAGTTATCTCATTCTAGACAAAGGCGCTAAAAACATTCATTGAAGAAAAGATAGCTTCTTCAACAAATGGTCCTGGGAAAACTGGAAAATGAAACTAACCCCTATCTCTCACCATGCACAAAACTCAAATGGATCAAGGACCTAGGAATTAGACCAGAGACCCTAAGCCTAATAGAAGAAAAAGTAGGCCCAAATCTGTATCACATCAGATTAGGCCCTGACTTCCTTAACAAGACTCCTAAAGCACAAGAAATAAAATCAAGAATCAATAAATGGGATGGATTCAAACTAAAAAGTGTCCTATCAACAAAAGAAACAATCAATGAGGTGAAGAGAGAGCTTACATTTTGGGAGCAATTTTTTGCCACACGCACATCAGATAGAGCACTAACCTCCAGGATATATAAAGAACTCAAAAAACTTGTACTAAGGACCTTAACAGACACTTATCAGAAGATATAAAATCAGTCAACAAATATATGAAAAAAATGTTCAGCATCTCTAGCAATTAGGGAAATGCAAATCAAAACTACTCTAAGATTTCATCTCTCATGTCAGTGAGAATGGCAGTTATCAAGAATACAAATAACAATAAGTGTTGGCGAGGATGTGAAGGAAAAGGCACGCTCATTCTTTGATAGTGGGACTGCAAATTGGTGCAACCAATCTGGAAAGCACTATGAAGATTCCTTAGAAAGCTTGGAGTGGAACCACCATTTGACCCAGCTATCCCACTCTCCAGTCTATAACCAAAGGACTTAAAAACAGCATACTATAGGGACACAGCCCCGTCAATGTTTATAGCTGCACAATTCATAACAGCTAAACTGTGGAACCAACCTAGATGCCCTTCAATAGATGATGAATGGATACAGAAACTGTGGTATATATACACAATGGAATATTACTCAGCATTAAAAGAGAATAAAATTATGGCATTTTCAGGTAAATGGATGGAGTTGGAGAATATCATGCTAAGCAAAGTAAGTCAATCCCAAAAAACCAAAAGCCAAATATTCTCTCTGATAAGTGGATACTGATCCATAATGGGGTGGCAGGGCATGGGGCGAATGAAGGAACTTTGGGCCATCTCCTTGGGATGGAAGGAGAGGAGGCTTGGGGTAGGAAAGATGATGGAATAAGACAAACATCATTACCTTATGTACATGTATGACTGCACATGTGGTGCAACTCTATATGGTGTACAACCAGAGAAATGAAACACCTAATGATCTTATTAAAATGCTGGTTCTGATTCAGTAAGTCTGGAGTAGGACTGAGATTCTGCCGTTTTAAGAGAGTCTCAAGGGATTTCATTGCTGCTAGTCTAGCTCAACAACAACAAAAGTATAATTGGAACATAGGCTTGAGACACAGGCTGTGAAAATGAGCTGAAATGGTCCATCAGGACTAGATCCTGAGAGTCTGTACTAAGGTGTTTGAACTTGATCCTGGACTTTATATTTGAGGGCATTAAGAAGCCACTGACTGGTCCTTAGGAAAAAAGTGATAAAATCAGATTGCATTTTAGAAAGATCACTGGCTGCCCTGATAGAGAGAGGTCAAAACTGAGGGTGAGGGGCCAATGGTAGAGCATGTGCTTAGCATGCACAAAGACCTGGTTTCCATTCCCCAGCACTGTAGAGTCCTGTAAATTCTGTGGGTTGAGAGATAGCAAAAAAGGGGGAAAGTTGAGGATGATTCCTGCATCAAGAGTGTTCTTTGTTGCAAACAGTGGATTTTATTTTGGCTCTTTTAACCAAAAAACTGATTAATTAGAAGATATTAATTTATAGAGTTATTGGGATAGTCAAAGAAATACTTAAGACTAAGCTCCCAGGAATAATACTGTTTTAGCCAACTTTTTCATTACTATGACTACAAGACCTGACAAGAACAATGAAGAGGAGGAAAAGTTTATTTGGGGCTTATGGTTTCCAAGGTCTCAATCTATAGATAGCCAACTCTATAGCTATAGACTCAAGGTAAAGCAGGACATCATGGCGGAAGGCATAGCACAAGAAAGCCTCTCAGGACATGGCAATCAGGAAGCAGAGGGAGCTCTCCTCACCAGGGAATAGGAACCCCAAAGGCAGTGTCCCCCAGTGACTCACCTCCTCCAGCCACATCTAACCTGCCTACAATTACCACTTGACTAGTCTCCATAAGTGGATTAATCTACTGATTAAGTTACAACTCTCATAATCAAATCATTTTACCTCTGAATATCCTCTCATTGTCTTACACATGAGCTTTTGGGGGACATCACATTATCCAAACTATAACAAATAACTAAACATGCCACAGAATTGTTCAGATTAGAAATATGTCACTGGTATTTTCTATTTCAGTAAAAATGTCAACTGCTGCTATTGCTACTACTGAGTCCTGCAACTGGTTTTACTGCAACTGCAACTTCTACCAATATCATTTCTGTATCAGGTCTCAAGTGCCCCCATCCCTGAAAACTCTGCCAATAAGAGTCTTATGCAGAGCTTGTTTATTCACATTGCTCACATCCAAATTTAGTTTTGCATGGTAATATTTTATTCACATGCCAGTATCCCAGCTGCAAAATAGACTGGAATTTGAGTTCTGATTCTACATGGGTGAGAAGGGATTACTCGTAATATGGGAATTTCCCCAAATATAAAAGATGTTCAGATGATGAATCACATATGAAAAATGTGTACATTCTGTCTTGGAGGACAGATAGCAGTGGCATTTTCAGAAATAAGGGATAAGAAAGGAAAGATAAAGTAAGAGAAAGGAAGGAAGGAAGGAAGGAAGGAAGGAGAAAAGTGGGTAAAGGTAAATCTTAGACATATGAATTTTCAGGTGCTTGAGGGATATATATCCAGGTGGTCTATCCAATAGGTATTTGGTTATAAGGATTGTGTTCATCAGTTTTTCATCACTATAACAAAAGATCTAAGATAATCAATTTTAAAAAATAAAAGAAAGTTTTGGGATTTCCATTCATGGTTGTTCCTATTGTTTTTGAGCCTGTGGCAAGGTAGCACATCATTGCAGGAGCACATGGCAGAGGAAGCTGCTCACCTCATAGCATCCAGGAAGCAAAAAAAGAAACAAGAAGAAGCCTGGATCCCAGTATCCTCTTTGAGGACATGTCTCCAATGACCAGACTTCGTCCCACTAGGCTTGAACTTTCAAAGGTTCCACCACCTCCCAATAGCACCATGAGAGGGGGGACCAAAACTTTAACCCATGGGCTCTTAGGGGACATTTATCCAAACCATAGTAGGATCTAAAGTTCAAAAAATAAATTTGTGCCCTACAAACCTGCAGATCCCTTGCTTCATTGAAATTGCTCCGTTGTCATTTCTCTAAGAGGCTCTATTGAAAATTGCACTTTCACTTTGCTTTTTATCTCTCATAGTATTAGTACTAATATTATATTAAATATTTGCTCATTTGTGCATTATCTGTCTTTCTCACTCTGTCTAATCAGCTTTATGTGCATACATATGTGGTACTGTTTATGACAGTATATACATGTCCTAGAACCACATTTAGCACATTGTAGATGCCCAATAACTATGTATTGAAGGAAGAATGAATTAATGGTAACTAAAACCTCAGGAATTAAGAGATAGCCTCCAGTCAGTGGGCACAGTGAACAACCAAGGTGCAAACTGGGAAACTAACATTCAGAAGCAGTCAGGTAAGCGGATCCCGCGAAGGAAACTTCAGAAGGAGTATGGATATGCAGATGGGTTAAGGAAGATGCCTGAAACACATCCTTTGAATTTAACCTAAAAAACTTTTCAGCATCATTACTTCAGAAAGAAGCAAAATTGCATCCTGCGGAGGAGTGACTGGGAGGTGAGAC